GCTCTCAGGGAAATGAGCATGTGGGTTAGCAGGGGAAGCACATGAAAATTAAAACCCTTACCCTTATTAATCCTGTTGGATTCCTAACACTTGGCTGGAAGACAAACCTTCAGAATTTGTGGTAGTGGTAAAGCTATGATATTTTTCTTTTTATTGAAGTCTTTCCTACAATAAGAATAGCAAAATAAAACTCTTCAACTTCCACTCACAACTGATGGTCTATAACGTCTTTCCCATGTGACTCCGATCGCAGAGGTCAATTGAACATCATAAAGTATGAGTCTTAAAGTTCAATATTAGAGTTCTCATTTTTTATTTTATTGGATATTTGCAAAATTATTGGCAGCTGAAGATAAAAGAAGTGAAAACTTAAAAATGTAAACCAGAAGTGAGAACATTCAGGATGAGAGTCAAAAAAGAAGAAATGTGGAAACCTAGAGGACCTATTAAATGGGAATCCTGCTTTTCCAATCACTGTAGGACTCTCTTGGCCATTAATATTTAGTCCCAGCAACCTAGGGCAATACTAGTTTTTTTTTTCTAATGTTGCAATTAGTTCTCTAATATGTTCAGTGAATTTTTATGGAAATTTCATATAAATATGAACTTCCAAAACAGAAGAAGGGATTATTTCATTTTTTATTTTGCATGTAAGACCTATAAGAGACTTGAAAATATCTGTCTATACTTGATAGAATTAAAATACATGTAAATATTAAAATACAGGTATAAATGATGATTTGAAATATTAGTATGCAAAGCACTAAATATTAATTTGAACATTTCTGAATATTTCTTGAACATTTCCATAGAAAAATTAGATATAATAATAAATAACCCATTCAACATATGAGAGGTGTCAGGTAATGAGGCTTAGTATTTGTTTTGATAATCAGAGTGATTATGTTTTGATACATTTCAGCGCAACCGAAAAAAAAATGCTACTATTCCATTTCAAAAGGAAGAGTAGGAGCTGTAAGAGATGCTTTCTTTCCATAAAGACATAAAAATCCTTTGCTCTCATACACCACCTTGAACTAAGAGATTTTAATGCATCACTTCATGATCATGAATTCACTAACCTGCCCATGTCACATCAATGAAAAATAGATCTGTTACAAATGAACAAATTCAAGAAGGTTGTTAGAATAATCTGGTGCATAAAGGCAATCGAATAGAAACACAAATTTCAAACATACAGCTTGTGGCAGACAGGATAACAGCCTCGAAAAGATGGCCCACATCCTAATGCCCAGAACTTATGAGTACATGAGGTTATGTGACAAAGAATTAAAATTGCAGATAGAGCCACAGAACAGGCAGAAATCCAACAGATTTCTACATAGTTTTTGAAGGTCTAGGCTTCTGTACATGAAAAAATTTTAACATTTTTGCAGCTTTTTGTCTATTGGGTATTCTTCCCTTAATAATTGGAGAAACATTTGCCTGTGGTTTTGATGTGTATACAGGTGTGTCTCCCAGTGTACTGGTTCCTGTCTTGCCCCTGTTACTGTATGACTGTTGTATTGGTATATCTAAAATAGCTCAGTATTATCTTGACATAGACAAATTAGTATTCCCTTAATTATTACTGAAATAAAACATATCTCTTAGCTTCTCTTGGTGGTGGAGAAAAAAAAAATTGCAGATGGAATTAAGGTTGCCAATCAATCAGCCTTAAAATAGGGAGAGTATCCTGAATTTGCCAGGTGGGCTCAAGACAAGCACAAGAACCATTGAAGGTAGAAGAGAAAGAGAAGCGGTCAGATGATGTGACATGTTATGAAAGGAGCTTGGTCCATGTTGTTGACTCCCAGGTAAAAGAGGAAAACAGGCACTTTGTGGAAGCTAAAAAAGGCAAAAATCCTCAGAGCCTCCAAAAAGAATGCAGCTCTGTCCACACCTGGAATTTAGCTCACTGAGATCCATGTTGGACTTCTGACCCGCAACCACAAAGTAAGGTATTTGTAATGTTTTCAGCCACCAAGTTCGTGGTAATTTGTTACAGCAGCAACAGAAAGCTGATACAGAGCTGTTTAATCAGTTAAGAGCAATTAAAGCAAACACCATCATGGAAAACCATAATAATCAATTTTAGCAACCAAAAATAACACTTGGAACACAAGTCCATTTTTGAAGTAGTAAAAGTAGAAGCACAAAGATTCTTTGGCATACAAAAATAAGAAAAAAAATATGTAAGAGGAATGTTTTTCCACTTCCTCTACTACCAGAAGAAGAAAGGGACTAATAAAATAAACATAGTGATATAAAGTATGGGTAAGAGTTTTTTAAATGCCCCTTGGAATAACGTCCTAAGAGTTCTGGAGTCTTTGTCCCTAAAGTTCTTTTAGATATACAGAGACCTGTCTATGTTATATTTGTTCTGCATGGCTCAGATGTTTACTTACCTGACAACAGAGCTTAAACAGTCTCCCATGGCCTCCTACAGTCTAAATATTCTACACAGATTTGTGTCCACTCAAATATGTACCACAAATATTTATACCTATCTACTCAACATAAATCATTCTGATGTGAATAACCAGAATACAACATAAACCTTGACTTTAAKAAAGTCATAGTTTAATATTTCCCAGAGTAAATAAATGACCATTGTCAGGCTAGTCATGGAGAAGAATCACAGAAGATGGAGAAGTGATACATTGATTTTTAAAAAACCTATCAATATATTTTAAAAATCAATACATTCTTATTGATCCTAAATGAACTATATTATTAGTGATCATTGGAGGTTACCATGGAATCAACTTATAACAATGAGAATTGTATGCCATTTTCCCTAAAAATATACAAAGGAAATGAAAAAGTAGATGACAGAAGAGAGAAAAATCTTCTTTATCATCATCTTAAAAAGGCAGAAGGAATGCTAGAATGAGAAAATTGTCATTTTACAACCTTTGTATAAAATAATGAATCTGAGCAATGATCATCAGATATTAAAACTCAAAATAATTTTAAAATAGATAAATCAAGATAAACGTCTAAACATGCACACCAAACAGTCTTAGGATCAGGAAGTGGGACGGACAGCCATTATGTACTTCTTCTTGTGAGTCCCTAGGAATCACATAGTACCACTTATAAACTAGTAATTTTCACCCCTAAACAAAACCCAAATCTAAGACAGCCCCCAGATCAGATTATCTTTTCATAGAAAACACAGGGATAGAGGAACCAGTTCAAAAAATCCAGAATAGGAGCTACCAATTAAAGAATGTGGAATTCTATATGCTAAACCACCCAATTTCTCTAGAAATCAAAAGAAAAGGAAGAAACTTAAGAGACATGATCAAATGTAACACATAGGCCTTGTTTAATCCTGATTCCAATAAACAAACCCTGAAAAGCTAGTTTTAAGACCAGAGAAATTTAAGTATGAACTAGGTATAAAATGTTATTATAATAAAGGCATGACACTATTAAAATGTTTCATTGATTAGAGATGCATAATGAAGCACTTTCAGATTAAACTGAAATGTCTAATTATGCTTTAAAATGTACCAGCCAAAAAGAAAAAACTGTATGAAAGAATACATAGAACAAGATTAGCAAATCAGTAGCATGTATTCTAGCTGCATGATGAAATTTAAGGGCTCATCGCAAGATGCTCTCTCTTATGTTTGAAATTTTCTATGATAAAAAATTTAAAGGATGAAAGCAATTGTAGATAAAAAAAATTCCTAGTTCATTTGATCAGTCTTTATTTTTGAAAGTGTGGAAGGTTGAAATATTCATGCTAGAAATTTTATTTTTCTGCACATACACATATTCTTATTAGTAATTTGACTCCTATTACTCTAAGATTGAATTCCTTTCATCTGATATAGAAAGTAAGTTTTCAATTGACCAAATTCCCAATTTACACAATCAAATAAAAATCTATCATAAGTGAAATGTGACTTCTAGTACTGAGAGTGCTTCTGTGTGAAGATGAGCCTACCTCTATTGCATGAATGGAGTAGGAAATATTTGCAAACATTCAAATTATTTATGGTTCATGTGAAAAGATTAGTGTTATTGTATTTTTCTGAAGTGCTAATTCTCACAAATTTTTTGTTTAAAAAATAGCAGTTTTGCTTTAAAGTGATTATATTATGTAAAATCTAGTCTACATCTTTAACTGACGTATTATCCTCTTGCTTGTTTTTCAAATACAATAGAGACTTCTCTGGGAGAAAAAAGAAGCTGGAATAAACAGATTCATCTTCAACATTCTCTGCATATATGTGTAGATGCCAGAGCTGATATAAAGTGGTTGAACTTATAGCATTGAACTTCTGAAGTTCATAGAAAGCCTCTTAAGCAAAAATCCTAGCAGTGGAAAAAATATAAATCTCATCTTGGATTTTCAAAGCATTCACAACAGAGAGCCTCTTTTTTTTAAAAAAAAAATTTCTTTAAAGGGATTTTATTTGCAAATAATTTATTTCTGGAGAAGTCTTGAAGGTGACCCACATGCTCAAATTGCATCTGGAGGCGATTAAAATATTTTCAAAGATATATACAATTTCATAATATATAGAAAAACTTTCATGTTTTTGTCTGAAATATGCTAAATTTTAAAATATGTAATATTTTTTCTTTTTAAAGGTAGCCTTTTATAAAGAAACACTTAAGAAGTTGTGGCTGTTACCTTCTACCAGAAGGGAGGAAAGACAGCATAAGGCAAGTTAGACTATGTAAATAAATTACATTACAGAGGAATAAGTCTAGTTATTTCAGCTAACATTTTCCCTTGTGCATTAAGCTATGTGGGAGGGATTACAGGTACAATGTCAATAAAGATAATTATTATTTTCTCATGCAGTAAAATTTTTAATGTAAAGAATTGTGCTATAGGTTGCAACAATTATGAAGATGATTTGGGATTCTAGCATTTGGTCCAGTCAAGGATGTAGAAGAAATGGATACACAAATCTCAAGATTTTGTTACAACCATTACCTCCCTTTTTTCTGAGTCTGATCCCCAAATACCTTACCAACTACAGCTTCTGTGTATTTCCCTTCAGTGGGAAGAGGGAAGTACTGGTTTGGAGATACGTTGCTGCCATATCCCAGCAGAAATCCTTCAAGCTTTACATTTGGATTTGGACGTAGGAACTTCAAGAGGATGGAGTCACTGGTGGTATTGATGTGGACTTTAAGGCTTGTCTTTTTACCTAATGATGGAAACAAACAAACAAAATTATGTGGCTGTTACTTTACCTGTTTTGCATTCCACCAAAATTTGCAGCAAGGATTAGTTGCTAGAGCATTGTTCTGGGAAAGTATGTTCTCAACTTTGCAAGGCTCATAGCAGACATGCCCAAATGTGGCCAAAATGTAGCCAATTGTGATATTAAAAAAATGGACTCCAATAAGCCCAGCATGGTGGCACGCACATACATGTAATCCCAACCATGAGAGAGGCTAAAGCAGAATTTCACATTGGAGGCCAGCCTGAGCAATTTATTGAGACTCAGGCTCAGAATAAAATTAACAGGGCTGGGGATCTAGCTCTGTGGCAAAGTACCTTTGGGTTCAGTCTCAAGTACTACAAAATTAAACAATAATTTTTAAAATAGCAATGAGGAAAATGGACTTAATACCATATAAAGCAGCTGAGAATAAAAAGTAATCTTGTGGGGTTTTAATACTTGGTAGTTTATTATTAAGCAGGTAATAGAAATCAGGCTTTCTGTTTCAACTCATAGGGAAAGGGCCTGGATCTCCTTATTGGTAAACTGAATTACTGCCAGGCACAGTGAAACACATCTATAATCCCAGAAGTTTGGGAGGCTGAGGTAAGAGGATTGCAAGTTCAAAGCAGCCTCAGCAACTTAGCAAGGCCTTAACCAACTTAGTGAGACCCTGCCTCAAAATAAAAAATAAAAACGGCTGGGGATGTGGGTCAGGAGTTGAGCTCCCCCAGGTTCAATCCCTGGTACTAACCTCCCCACCACTACCAAAAAAACAAAACCAAAAACAACAACAACAACAACAAACCTTGGAATTATTACACTTTGAAAACCTTTAGTCCTTTCTGTTCTGGTTTCCAACACCACAGCAACAGGAATTGGTCATGGATAAAGTTGGAAAGGGAGAGGAGATGGAAGGTTTCTGGTGGCAAAGGTGGTAAATTAGGGAATGCTGGAAGGAAGAAAATGGTTAAGGAGAAAGTGGACTAATTCCACTGGGAGCTCACTGTGTCAATGAGACAATTACATGGAGACACCCAACAGGGAGTTGAGTATCTAAGTGTGATGCTCAGGACTGGGGTACAGACTCAACTGAGTGTCATTAGATTATCAGTGACAATTGGACCAACTTTCCCAGAGAGACTGTGAAAGGTGAGAAGGGAGACATTACTTCAATTCTCAAGACATTTTTTTAAACCAATGATGCAATAGGGACAGATAATCACACTAACTAAAGGTCTTGACCAGACAGTAAGGAAACAACATTGTCTTTGGAGCMAGAAGGAACAGGGTTCAAATCCAACTGTTATCATCACTATGAGATAATGGTTAACTCATCACTCTGGCAACTAACTCCCTGGACGCGCTTGTACCTAAGCCTCCTGCTTTGTAAACAATGGATAACAGCCACCATTCTTGCTGTGTTATTTACAAAGATGAGGGGAAATGGTATAAACTTAAAGCTGGCACATAGCAGTTGTTCCATGATTGCCTAGCCATCCTTTAGCCATAGTTCTTTAGCCATCATTCAGAAATCCAAAAACCTTTGTATGTTTTTTTTCCCCCCAAGTTCATCTCAAACAAATTTGGCAACAAAACTCTGAATCATCCTGAATCCATTTCGTCTGTCTCTGAGCCTGCTCAGTATAACTACCGACATGCTTCACTGTGGAAATGTACTTAGTTAAGTGGCGCTTACTGGGCAAGAACTCACTAAAGAGGTTATATAACATTTGGTCTAATACTTTTCTAAAATGCCTCAAATTTGTGAATTCCAAAACATGCCTGACCCTCGGGGTTAGGATTGCAAGACTGAATTATTTTATTATCCACAGAGTTACTATTTTGAAAATATCTTGCCTATTGGAAAGACTGCATTTAACAATTTAACAATTCATATTCTATTTCTCATTAATTGAAGTTTTATATTGTATAAATACCAACCACCACATCTATACAACACTAGTTCCCCAAGGTTTCATAACTGAGTTTATTCTGCTTCAACCAAAATCAGTCTGGGCAGCCTTAATAAATACAGTTACATAAATGGATTCATAATACTATTTAGAACTAAACTTTAAAAATGTCCTGAAAAAAAAAAAAGAAATGGAGGTAGACAAATCTCACTTCACTACAGTATCACCAACTTTATGCTTCAAGATCATCATCCAATTCTTTATTTAGAATTAGGAAGTCATGTCCCTTATTACCTTACCAGACATTATTTCTCCTATTATAACTTCTTACCAAAGCTCATTTGGTTTTGGCCAGTATAATCTTCTTGCTTTCTGTAGTACATACCTGGTCCTGGCTCTCCACCTTGGCTCACACTGTTCACCCAGGACAGATTCCCTCTATGTTTGGTTTGCCTTCTCTACATCCCTTTACTCATCTGGTTCTTACCTCATTGCTCCTTTCAGTGGTTAGCAAAATGATTGAGCAAGTTTTTTTCCCTTTTATTCCGAATAAGTTTGTTGAGTGTTTCTCCCAATGAAAATTTGAAATATTTAGTGACATTTGACAATTTTTGACAATTTCTCCAATATTGGGGGGCTATATCTATGTACCTCAAAAATTAATTTTTAATCTTTAAATAATACTTTTATATCTATTTTTAATAATTCTGGTTTAATGGCTTGGAACCTGAGTCATGTAATGACAGTTATCTTTCAATAGTTTTTAGTAGTTAGAACTCTGCTGAGTGACTTTAGGTAAAGACAATAGAAAATCATACAATGTATTGCAAGCCTAACTAGTATAACATTTGTAAGTAAAGTAGCATATATGTTACCTGGGAAAGTCCAGGAGTAAAGAGAAGTAAGCATGTATGGCAACAGATGTGAGAAATAAAAATAAAAAATAAATGCAAGCATTGTGTAAAAGCAACACTAATTTGCCTTGGGGGAGGGGAGGGAACCGCACATTGGCAAAGTAGAATCTTGGCTCTGTGACAATGGTTTCTAATCCTCTGTTTGCAACAAACACCCTAGGGTATCTCTAAATATTTCCAAGAATGTTGTGAAATTCTAAAAGAAAAGTCTTTCAAAACAAAATTAGAATCAATCCACTTTTCATTTTTGAAAGTAAATATATGCCCTGCAGCATTAAAAACAGTGAGTAGGTCAGAAGGGGTGGGTTTGGAAAAAACAGATTTTAAAAAATAGCATTGTAAATTCAAGATATCTCTCTGAATCAACCAGAGTGGGCAGGTTGCTATTGTTTCAGAGAAGCTGTGGTCAGTTCCAGTCAAGTTCTGTAAAGAAACAGCCCAAACACAGGGTACTTAGTGAAGCCAGCTAAACTGTCGTGGGCATCCAGTCATGGACTTGTGAGAAAGGAATCACATTAGAGTATATTCAGTAGGAGGGATTTTTTCATGTTTGATCTCTCTTAAGATTATCTTATACTTTCCACAATGTTTCAGAACATGTTCTAAATTGTTGATATCAAGTTGGTCAAGATGATAAAATTACTACAAGAGAAAAAAACTGCAAAATATTAAAACTATTCTAAAAGTAAAGAATTTATTAATATACAAACAATAATTAATTTGGCTTTATATGTCTCCATGTTTTAAAACATTAATGAAGAAACTAGAAATATTGTAAATAGCAAGTTTGGGCATGAAGTAAATCAGATATAGAATTAATTTCCTTAGGATATTAAGTGAAAGAAAAGCAGTAATACTGATGTCAATAAAATAGTCATGGGCTGGAGCTTGAGCTCAGTGGTAAAGCACTTGCCTAGCACATGTGAGGCACTGGGTTCCATCCTCAGCACCACATAAAATAAATAAAATAAAGGTATTGTGTCCATCCACAACTAAAAAAAATATTTTAAAAATATTTATAAAATAATGAGTCATTTCAGAATTAAAAGTATAACTCTATTCTTACCCATAGTATGTAATGTGTTCTGTGCAAATTTTACAGTCCCAACCTCTACTTGCTCAGCAACTTATGCTATTGTACAAATATCAAAATTTTCTAAGACACTTAATTAAATCAATTCTCATCAATTTTGATATGTTATATGAAGTATAGGTTTAAAAAATTGACACAGATTTGACCAAATTTTCAAAATTTTGAAATTTCAAAGAACCAGAAAAAAAAGGCAAACAACAGACTGAACAGATGGGTAGAAAATATTTGCAAAAGATAAATCTTTTGAAGGAATTATACCCAGAATATATATTCTTCCTATTCAATAAAACAACAAAACAAGGGAAAAAGGATTTGAATGAATGCACTTGAATAGATTTTTCACTAAAAGCAATATATGGTGACCAAGAAGCACATGAAAAGATGCTCAACATCATGGTCATCAGGTGATTTCCATCAGAGATCACGTAGCAAGTATTTCAGAGTTGGCAATTCAGAGTTCTCTACCACGACTAATCAACTCTGTCACAGAAGGGCAAAAGTAAGGTATTGGTCTAGATTTGTCCCTCAAGTAACAGTTTACCAAATCCCAATCAATATCAAGGAAATGAAAATTAAAACCAAAATGATATACCACACACACAAGAATGGCTAAAATCAAATGGACTTACAATAATAAATCTTAGGCACAATTTGGAACTTTTACACATTTTAAGTGCGAATATTAAATAGGATAGCCACTTATGAAAACTGTTGAGAAATTACCAAAAAGCCATTGATTTTATTTCTGGTATTCTATCCAGGAGAAATAAAAATATATCTATACAAAAACTTGTGGCAAATATTTTAAAGTAGCATCAACCTGGAGACACACACAAATATCCATCATCAACTGAATGGATAAACAAAATATGGCCCATTCAGACAATGTGAGATGACTCAGTAACAGAACTGAGCAAACTACTAGTTATATATGCAACATGACTGAATCTCAGGCATGCCATTATGCCATTGTAGAATGGGTCATATCTCTGTAACCACGTTATACAGACTGCCTCATGGAAAGTTATTCAAGCATACTGCTATTATAGCATTGGTAGA